ATAGAATGCCTGAAGAAATACATTTTAGCACTCAATTGTTCAAATTCCTCACTGGTGAGTTTTCTGGTTTCTGGGTTAGGAAATGGGGCAATTGCTTTTCCTTGAGCTAATTTTTTAAGCTGGTTGGTTAGGGTTTGAATAGTTGCTCTCAATTGTTTTTCTTCGTCTCGGAGCTGGTCTAGCTCTTCACTAACCTTTTTGCCTTTATCCATAATTTTTTTGAAATTTCTAGTAAGGCCTTCACAATGTCTGCACATTTTGAGAGGATTTTGAGAATCTATCTAAGGGTTAGTACTACTGCTTCCAATTATCTGGCTAACCGGAACTCCACTAATAGCAAGAATGGTTGACTGCATCTTGCCTAATGTGTCCAGGTAATCTTTAGCTATCTGGCTGATAAAGTAACTGGTTCCTATTTGTCTTCGGGCATATGCACTGGTTGACTCAAAATCATAAAATCCTTTAAACTGAGGTGTGGGAAAATTTTTAACTAAGGGTTCAACTTCTACTCAATCATGGTAAATACCAGGCTTGGTTCCTTTAGCTACTACATAGAAAGAAAAACTTTTAGACAAAGGTTTATTTTGGATTTTTGAAAAATATATACTAAGAGAGTTTAAGGCTGACAGACGTTTAGCTGGGTGGTTATGACTGTTCCAAAAGTTATCTAGAAGACACTGTTGAACTGGGTCTAGCTCAATTCCTGTTAATGGTCTGAATTTGTTTCATCCGTCATGAATAGGAAGGGCAAATCCCCCAAAGTTCATGGTTTTGCTGTTCTTCATTATCTACACAAAATTTAAACTGGTTATTTTCTTTCTCTAAATAAATCTTCCTACTTAGCCAATTTGTTAATTTATTATCACTCCCTTTAATATGTTCAAATTCTACTTTATATCATTATCCTACTATACAATCTAAAAATTTCGCCCATCCTCTGGTGCATAGTTTGCGCTCATTAAGTTTATTATGAAATCTAACTATAGCTTAATAGTCTGTTCTAATTGTAAAGGGCTTATGTAAGAATAATCTAAATTTGTTTATTGCATATACTATTCCTAATATCTCAAAATCTAGGCTGGTCATGGTTGTATCTTTTTCTTTAAATTTTCCAGAACTATATCTACAAATGCGCTCTTTATTTTTACTATCATACTTACTAGGTTTGGCTAATAATACTGTTCCCCATCCTAGTTGACTTGCATCTATTTCTATGACTATATATTCTGATTCTAAGGGAAGTTGTAGGTCGTGTAGATTTCACAAATGTCTTTTATTTTTCTAACCAAGGCTATATCTTGTTGATTGAAATATTTTTGACCTGTAGGTGTGGTTTTATTATATAGGGGTCCTATTATTTTACTAAGGTTAGGAATGTACATTCGTGCATAATTTAAAATTCCTAAAAATGACTGTAGTTGTTTTGTATCTTCTAATTTATCTGGATAATCTAAAATTTTCTTAACTATGTGAGGTTGTAACCTAATTTTTCCATCTCCTAACTCCATTCCTAAAAATTCTATATGGGGTTTATTTAATATCATTTTTCTCTTACTAATTATTATTCCATTATTTATGAATTCTTCTAATATTATATATAAATGATTTATGTGACTATTTTTATCTGGGCTAAATACTAATATGTCGTCTATATATACCAGTATAAAACTATATTTGTTGAATATACTATCCATCTTACGCTGAAATATGGAAGGTGCATTTTTTAGTCCAAAAGGCATGACTAGCCATTCATAATGCCTTTGTGGGCAACAAAAGGCTGTCCAAGGTATGCTTTCCTTTTTCATTTTTATCTGTCAAAATCCTGACTTGCAATCAAATTTACTAAATATTTTTGTTGTCTGTATTCTGTTTACGAGTTGATCTTTATCTGGTATATTATATTTATCATCTTCTGTATTGTCATTTAATCTTTTATAATTTATAACCATTCTAGCTCTTCATCTTTTTATCTCTGCATGATTTCTTACCATAAATGAGGCGTTCCTATGCGGGCTATTACTCGGTCTAATTACTCCTAAATCTAGTAACTCTTTAATTTGTGTCCTAAATTCCTCTATGTCTGCTGGTGTATGATCTATTTGTACTGATGTAATCCTATAATCTTTATTTTTTATATCTAAACGAGCTAAAACTTTATTTCTTTCCCAGTATTTCATAGGTTGTTCACCTAAAATTTATGTTGTTTCAGCTAATCTTATTATTTCATCTAAATCATCTTCTATTCTTCTATATATTGGTTTTTTCTTTAATTTTTCTATTTTTGCATGAATTAATTCTAGGTTAACAATTTGTTGAAAATCTTCTATGTTCCAATAGTCTCTATTTTCTTCAAAATTAAACTCTTCTAAATCCTCTAATTCATAATTTTCTACGTCTAAATTTTCTAAAGAAGTATTTGCTATCTCATCAGGTATATACTTTTGGGCTAGCTCGGGAAAAATGTTTCTACTAGGAAATAAAAAACTAGCGGGAACTGAAAATGACTAATCAGAGAGTTAGGAAAAATGACTAAAAAACTAGCCCGAACAAAAAATGTTTCTACTAGGTATATTTTATGTTATTATAAATTATTTTATGTAAATTATACTTTGTAAAGTATATTATCATTTCAAATATATTTTTTTCTTAATGATCCATATTTGCTTAAAAAAAGAAAACCCCGTAAATATAACTGTTATTAAATATGTTTTTGGAGACAATTGGATAATTGATAATGTGAGTAATTATTTTGTGAGTACTACCATGGAGGTCCCATATCTGGACAGACTTAAATAATCATTAACTCTCTGATTAGTCACTTTAGTGATCTTCTGTTTATCATAGATCCATTGACTCTCTGTTCTGTTCCGTACCGTGGTTATGATTATTTTACTTATACAATGTCTGAATTATATTTATTATTTAAAATAATTAATTTATTCTTGTTGAATTATTTATTGTTTAGCCTAAATAATTATTCATGGTGATTTTTATACCCTTCTACTCTCAGTATAATATTTCTCACTCTACTATGTACTTATAATACTTTTAGGTGATGAGGCTTAGGAAGTGGCTGTTAAACCTGTGTTCATAGGTTTTGAGAGTAGCAAGGCCGAGTTTGGAGTAGACATAATGCACCTTGTATATTTGTAAACATAGTCTAACACTGGCACTATAAATTAATAAAAGCTTAGTTGTATGTTTAAATAAAATAAATATTTAGGTACCATTTTATTTTACTCCACTATGTTATTAATCTGTTAAATTTAGAAATTAACCTTTGATAACCTTAGTTATTGACTGGTTGCAATGCCTAACCTTTGATATCGAGGTTGGGTCATGACAATGGTAAAAAGAGGGTTGGGGCTGCTGTGGTAATGGTAGAATCGAGTGGCTGAATAGTAGGCCAGTGGGGCGATGGTCTCCAAAATAGGTTTAGGGGATGGTGTAGTAGTAGCAAGATGGGGGCTAAAAGGTGGCTGGATGGCAAGCTGTAAAGTTTCGGGGTGGTGGAGGAGTGGGTTGGGAGTGATAGGATGATAGTTGTGAGAATGGGTTAGAGTTTATGGATGGTGGTTATTATTGTGAATGTGAAGAGCTGTGAGAGTGGAGAAGAAAGAGAAGGGTGTGATTGACAAAATTGTCGATTTTTCGTTATCTTAAATAAACGGAAATGGATGACAGGCCACATTAAAACATGAATAGAATTACAAAATTAAAATATTAGGGTTTAAAATGTAAAACTCGTAAAATCTCCGTATTATTTTTATAATTAACCCTATTTATAATATTCAGCCTAATCCCTCAAAAATAAAACACCATCACTACCTTATTTTTATATATTGTTTTATACATTAATTATTTATTTTTTGCCTTATTTATTTATATTTTTGCCATATTTATTTTTATATATTGTTTTATACATTAATTATTTATTTTTTGCCTTATTTATTTATATTTTTGCCATATTTATTTTTATATATTGTTTTATACATTAATTATTTATTTTTTGCCTTATTTATTTATATTTTTGCCATATTTATTTTTATATATTGTTTTATACATTAATTATTTATTTTTTGCCTTATTTATTTTTATTTTTATTGCCTTATTTAATTACGTGGCGAATGGTAATTTATGTTTTCATGTTTCGTTTTTAAAAAAAAATTCAATGAAGCATATTTTTGTCGTTATGTTTTTTTAATTTACGATTTTGGCATTTTTTTATTAACCCATATTAATTTATTTTTATATTTCAAAAATGGATTTTCATTTGTTTTATTTATTTGTAAATAATGTAAATAATCTAAAAAATTTAAATTAAATATTCAAAAAATATTTCAATTGTAAAAATTTAATCAATTTAAATATTCAAAAAATTATTTTAACAACAAAATTTAAATAATTTAAATATTCAAAAAATTTATATAATTTAAAATGTTACTATTTTAAATTTAAAAACAACTCTACACTCAAGTCGTAAACAAACATATAGAATGAAACTCAATTAATCAATTATTGAGTTAACTCATAACCAAACACATAATTCGAAATTTCATACTACTTTCACAATTCTACACTCAAATCATAACCAAATACATAACAAAAACAAAAAATTATTTAAAAATATTAATATTTTAACAGAAAAGAAAAAAAATGTTTTTAATTTTTTTTTCAACTTTCTTTGTCTTTCCTAGTAAAAAGCCTGATTTGATCCTTTTTTATTTTTTTTTATTTTTTACTTTCTGTGGGCTGACGCCGCCCCTCTTTCATGTGGGGTAGTATGGTAAATTAACTTGTCAAATTGTTGCGGCTATACTCCCAACTTTCTTTTGTCCGTTTGTGACTAAATTAGCCACTTTTGTCATTTAGTGACTAATTTAGCCCAAACCCAACTTCCCAAACGCAGCCTCAGCCAAATCCACCAAAAATAAAATGAATAAATAAATAAAAAATAAAAAATAAAAAATAAAATAATTGACAGCGTAGAGATTTTCATATCCAGATTTGAAATTTCTACACAAAGATCCCATGGGCGCTCAATGCCAATAGGAACTTCTTCCTTCTTGCGTAGAAATACTAGTAGAGTGATCCGTTCAGGAAGGTCACACTTCTCGTCAAGCTCGCTCACTCTCTCTCCCTCTCCCTCTGTCTCTGCCTCTGCCTCTGTCAAATCCATGATGATGGGTACAAGTCTCCAAACTCAGATGATCCATTTCACATCCCTTGTAGTTCTTGTGCTCTCAATCTTTTCATCTGTATCAGAATCCAATCAGGTACTCAAATATTCTTCTAACTCCCAAGTCAACGTTTCATTTTTAAAGGCAAGTTTTTCTGTGAAAATTCGTTTCCTTTTGTTCCAACAGAGCTGGAAATAAGGTTTTGATATAATCTCTCAGTTTCTCAGCAAGCAAACAAAGGGTTTTGGATTGATTAAGCAACCGGATATGTTTGTAAAATCGTTTTTGTGATTCTGGAAGTGAAAATACAAAACTGATTTATTGAATTTTACTGGGTTTTGGTTTTCAAAAGCTGAGCAAAGTTAATTCAACCTAGCTATAATTGTTTGCCTCAGACTTATTTGATTAAAGTTCTTCATTTTTTGGGGTTCCTAAATGATAAAGAGAGTTGGGTTTGATTAAAGAATTTTGGATTCCTTTTGTTTACAGTTTTGTGAAGCTGGAATTGGTTATGGCAATTCAGAGTGCGGAGTCTCATCTTCTTCCTCATCGAAGATCTTGATAAAGGGGGGAACTGTTGTGAATGCTCACCACCAGGAGATAGCTGATGTGTATGTAGAGGATGGGATTATTGCTGCTGTGAAGCCTAATATCAAGGTATAGTATGTATTGTGCTATAATGAATTTAATTTAGGTCCACTATCAATAGGCCATAACAGTTTGACTTAATTTTCATAAAGTGTTATTGAAAATAAGTTCTAATAAAATCATCCCTAAAACTAATTTTTCTGACAATTTTTTGCGTATGTCGCTAAAAATTGACATTTTGTCACGGTTTTTATAAATTGTCGCTAAAATTTAAGTGATGTTTATTTGTGACGAATTTTTCAGGATGTAGCTGAAAGTTGAAAATTTGAGACTTTTTTTGTGATTTTTTTTAAACTGTCACTAAAACTTATAATTAGTGACATTTTTTGTGACAAAATTTTTAAATTATCACTAAAAATAATATTTAGTGACATTTTTTAATAGTGTTTGATAAAAAATGCTATTAATTATCACAAGACCTATTGGATAATAAGTCTACTTATTAGGACCTTCACGTAAGTCTCCCTTCAATTTATGATGGTTTTCAGGTGTTGGAATTCATCTGAAAGCCAGTAATAAAACTAAGACTAATGCTATATGCACCAATTAGTGCACTAACTAGTGTACCAATTAATGATGTGGCATAATTTAAGATGTTTTTGGTATTTATAATTTGTATAATGAGTGGAGTCAATAATAATGTCATAACTAGTATTAGTATACTAGTTAGTATACTAATTGGTGCATGTAGCACCACTCTAAAATTAACTTGCCGGTAAAGGATTCTCAATTGTTGAATTTGGCATGATTTATTTTTTGTCAAGTTGGGACACAGTTTGCATGTCATTAACCAGCTTCTCTGTGTTGAAGAAGATGACTTTCTGATTTATTCTATGGGTTGGTAAAACATTTTAGTAGAAAAAATAGATTAATCATTTAAGAAGAATAAATTATAACATTAGGGGAAGATTATATTGATTATAGAATGATTGGAACAGTAACCGGTCTTGGAGTTTTTCAATTGTGAGAAGTAGAAAGTAGATATTGTAAGCATTTTGTATAACCCAATTGTCACATATAAATTTATCATTCTTCAGAGTCAAATAACACAGGCCTTGAAAAGTGACCTAATGTATTTGATAGCTTTTTGAATAATGCACTTTAAAACAACTACAACACATTTACCCTAATAGGTCATTGAAGTCTTCCCCCATCCATTTGTTTGGCTCTAAGGTTCAGTTTGAACTTTTCATTTATTTTATTTTATTTTATTTTTTTTAAACTTTGAATGATTTCATATTTATAAAGCACTGGCCAATTTATTTTTACCAAAGTTAATACTAAAGAATTCAAATTTAAGAGAACCAAGAATATTCTCAAGAGTCACAACTTTAATGGTCATAAACATTGATCAGGAGTAAGGATTATGAACAAAATTATCCATAATCCTTTGGGTTATTTTGGTTAGGCATGCTAAGATGTTCATTGATACTTGGTACCTTTTACACGGTCTTGGTTAGAACTTACCCAAGACCATGTAACATTGTATCTGAGCCGAAGTACTTAGGGATGGGTAGGGTATGTGTCCTTGGCTTGCACTCTGCAAGTGCTGTCGAGTGAGCATGCTGGGTGTGAGGGAGGGTGTGAGGCGAAGTCATACATCGCTAAAGTACTAAAATAATATTAAGCATATAAGCGTGAGGGTACCCTCACCTCTTAAGCGTTGAGTTCTACCCAAAACCGTATAACATAATGTCAAGGTTGGAGTACTCAGGGATGGGTAGGTCCCACATCGCCTGAGTACTAAAGTAATATTACACATATAAGCGTGAGGGCACCCTCATCTTAGGAGCTAGCTTTTGGGGTTGAGTTCTACCCAAGACCGTGTAACAGTACCCTACTTCATGTTATAATTGAAACGCCAACATGGACTAGGTTTTTTGAGGTGTGCTGAATGCATCCACAAAATAAATTCTTTCTTTTGTTTTTTAGCTGAAGTTTTGATTCTTTGAGCTAACAGGAATTTCTTTCTTTTCTGTTCTTTTGGCTGTATGCTTATTTATTTAGTGAATCTATTATAGATTGCAACTTATACTAGTCATAACAGTGTAGCTCAATCTTACACATACATGCCTTTTAATTGCGTTTTCCAGGTCCTCTTGCAATCTATTTGCAGGAAGTCGTTTTCTTGTTGATTCTTTATTTTCTTTATTTGTTATATGGTTGGATGAAAATCTGAATTTTTTGAGTGGCATCTGCAGGTTGGTGATGATGTTACTGTGCTTGATGCCACTGGAAAGTTTGTCATGCCAGGTGAAACTTCGTTTCATCATTGGGTGCCCAATAGCTTACAACTGGTTTTTAAGTCTCTAAAAGACTTGTAAAGTAGTTCAAGAACTGAGATTATATGGAATCGTAACTTGTAATGAATCTCTATGCACTGGTTACTTATTTCAGTTACATGCTTATTCATATATTTTATATGAACCTTGCACACTAAATTAGGGCAAGTTGCAACCTTTCAGCATTAATCCATGCACATTAAGACTTGGGAACCTGTTTAACTGTGTCATGGGTATACACTTCCAAGATAGCCTTGGCTATGAATGGTTAATGTGACTAATGGAGTGGTTTTCCAAATTGATGGTGAAATTGTTCATGCTTTTCAAGGAAGACTATTAAGCAGATAATTACAATTATAAGCTCTTCCAGTTCCGCATTTATAAAGATGAATAAATCACACAGAAAAGCACCTTTGAACCTCAGATTCTAACCTGATACAATTCACTATCTAATTTGTGCTATTTGTGAGACGTGTTCCACATTTTTTGGATAGGTAAACTTTATATGGTGGTTGGCTGATGTTAGGGCACCGTTAAGATATATATTGTGAACTATAAGTGATAAACCTGTATCAGTTGTAGAGGGAAAAAGTGTAGTTTACGGTTTATTAAGGCTGAACAGTTAGGCCTTGGAAACCTGTGAAAAAAGAAAGAAAATAGAAGAAAAGGGAAAAAAAAAAAAATGAAGAAGAAAAAATAATCTGTAGCGACAATGCGAAAAGGGAGTTAACATTTGAGGTGACAAAAATTGTTTTACTTATTGAGATTAGGAGCCCAAGAAGATTAACGCATTCATACACTTTTAATTTAATGAGCTCTAGCTTCAAAGGTCATTGTTCACAAATGTTTGGTGTTGTTTTTCATATTCTTCTGTCAAATTTATGTCGTATAGTAATTGAATTAAAGTCTTCTTGATTCCCCTATAGACTTGAGAGGAGGATTCAGACTTGAATTCCAGTTACATGGTTTTATTTGTTTATTTAGGTTAGTAATTTTATTCATTAAAAGGAGCCAAAGAAAGTGTGAACCATGTAGATGGGAAGAACACAAGAGCTCCTTAAAAGCTAGCCCCCTTTAGAACTTAAGTCTCCTAAAAAATCTGCAAACTAGGAATTTTTTTTCGCACCACCAAAACTGGAATGAGTTGAGTATGACGTTCTTCTAATCGAGGAATCCTTATCTCCAGCTCCTTAAGTTATATCTCTTCCTCTCCCTCTAGATGATAGTCCATATGAGGCAAAGTGAGGTTGTGGACCAAGCTTGCTCCAATTGCTTCTAAGCATAACCCTAATGCCAGCAACTAGTCAAAATTAAACTACCTCGCAATTCAATAAGAGGTGATTAACGGTCTCCTTTAGCTTTGTGCACATGGAACACCATCTAGGGAGTGTGTTTAGTGTTCAGTGATTAGTAGGTTTGTCTAACTCAAAATTCATACACTTTTTAATTGAAATTATTTTGTAATCAATTTCTCAGAATATTTCACCCAAATGGAGGAACCACTGAAATCTTCCAGATTTCAACAAGTAATAGGGTTACCCCTTCGCACAATGTATAAGCATTACACACTTTTTCACTTTGATAGGGATTAGTTAATATAATTTTCTTTATTAAACCTCTTGAAGGTTGGTGAGGTGCAATCCAACACTTCTTGTGAGGTGAGATATCTTTGATATAATATTCTTTACTATACTTTTGTTTTATGAAAATGTAGAATAAAACAAAATTATCTAAGTAGGATTTAATTGTTAAAATCACAACCAATTCATCCTTCTTTTCCTTTTTCAACCTAAAGGCATACTCCAATAACTTTAACCCTCTCTAACCTATACTCCAAATATAAGTGGTTCAAGGTTTAGAATTGAAGGCTGTTAAAAAATATCAATGACATAAACTTGGAGGTTCCAGCTCTCATTCTAAAAGTGGATATATGTATGTGATGAATAAATGCCAATTAGATACATTGATGTGATTTAAGGACGTGAAATGAGTTGTAACTAATATTGGAAGAGAGGCAAGTGAGTTTCTAATAAAAATAGGCTTACATCAGTGATCCACGTTTGGTTATTGTTTATTTTATTCTTTTATATCACTTCTAGATGAGCTTATTTACATATTCATGAGTTTCCAATAAAAATAGGCTTATTCACATATCAACAAGTTATCACATAAATTTGACGATTGACCTTCCATAAAATTGATCATAGATGGGCAACGTCATTATCCCTTGGAAAAGTCCATTATGGTGCATATATTCTCTTATTAATATTTCATCTTATTAATGTACTAGGCATAAGTTAACCATATAAGAAGTGCAGGGAATACTCTCTTGATCCTCTTTCTCCAATGTTTGTGTTCCTTTCATTCACAAAAGTTATTATCATCATATCTTAGCCTGTTGGTTTGTTAGTTATTTATGTCAACAATCAAGATCATTTCATCGCACAACTATGTTTATATAATATATATGTATATTTCATGAAAGCTTTGAGTACATAGCAATGTTAAGTGGAATCTTCTATTCCTCCTAGTGTACCTATGTTCACTGGATATAACAACATAAAGGTATGGGATGTGTCTGACACCATACCCAAATTAGACTCTGGGATCATTTTAATTTTTGCAATGTTTGAAGACAAAGATGCTCACATTTGGTTGTAAAGAAAACTTTCTAGTCTCTGACATGGATGAGAGATGTAACTTCTTTGTTTCCTCTAAATCCCATATAATTTTAGTTATATTCTTGATAATTTACATCTTATCTCAAAATATAATACAATACACAATACATTTAAATGTGTCTATGTACATATACCTAACTTTTGGATACATGTCCCAATATCCAAATATTTAGGCTTATAAAATCCCACCGACACCTGCACCAGATACTTGTATCCATGCCCATGTAACATAGGTACATAGATTAGATCTTCATATGTTGTAATTGCAAAGTAGGACCTGTCAGTCATTTCATAGCGCTGATTCTTATGTTAGTATGGTAAATTTTTCTGTATGATGTTTACAGGAGGAATTGATCCTCACACACACCTGGCCATGGAGTTTATGGGTACTGAGACCATTGATGATTACTTCAGTGGTCAGGCTGCTGCATTAGCAGGGGGAACAACAATGCACATTGATTTTGTTATCCCAGTAAAGGGGAGTTTATCTGCCGGTTTCGAAGCCTATGTAGGAAAAGCCAAGAAGGCTTGTATGGATTATGGTTTCCATATGGCAATCACCAAATGGGATGAAACTGTATCAAAAGAGATGGAAATCATGGTTAAGGAGAAAGGTTTGTATCTCTTATTTCCTTGTAGTGTAGAATGAGTTTGGTTGATGTAACCTGATCTCAAATTCATGAGCCATTGGTGAATATCTTTATCTCGATTTTCATTGGACTTGGGTAAATTATTAAATAGGTTATTTCTGCAAACCTGCAGGTATCAACTCCTTTAAATTTTTCCTAGCATACAAGGGGGCTCTTATGGTCAATGACGAGCTTCTATTAGAAGGACTTAAAAAATGCAAGTCTCTTGGTGCCTTGGCTATGGTCCATGCAGAAAATGGAGATGCTGTATTTGAAGGACAAAAAAGAATGATAGAACTTGGTATTACAGGTCCAGAGGGACACGCGCTTTCAAGGCCTGCAGTGGTAACTCCTTAAGAATACATTTTCGTTTTCTATGGACATATTATTGCTAGCATTGCTCTTGGATGTGTAGCGTCCTCCACAAACCAAAAAATAGCACACGGGTTGTGGATGAAAACTTCTGGTTCAATTGCATTGCTTAGTAGAAACGTTAACATGGTGTTGTTTTCTGCGAAAGAATCCTTTTATGCTGCTTTCTGGTGGTTTCTACTTCTTTCTTCTTTTTCTAAAGATACGTGAAATATTTAGAAAACAATAATGTTGAGAGGGAGTCGATGGAAAGAATGCATGTTTTTTGAAGTGGAGCTAAATTTGTTAAGTCATTTATTGTTCATTGCACATACTGACTAGCACTGTTGATCATTTTTAAATGCATTTGTTACTGATTGACACAGTTCTGGAACTATGGCACTAAAATGGTTTTAAACTAGGTGAAATTTATGTATTCTTTCAATGGTATGGTAACTCTGGACAAAATGTCAGATTATTGAGGTGTCTGAGCTGGATGTGAGCAGGTTAGTGGAAGTGTATCATCCCCACGTGGATTTGTACTTCTCTTTAATTGAAATTTATAGCAGTGCATGGAGCTGTAATCTTAGAACTTTGCCTTTACTTTTCTATATTTATAGGCTCTTTTGCAGGGATTTTTTGGGTATTCTTGTAGGCATAATTTTTGTATGTCATCTTCATAACCATGGACTTCTTATTTGGGAAGAAAGAAACAGAGAGAGGGTGATGTTGTAGTACAGTGAGTTGTAGTCCACCAACCCTTATGGTCTGATTGCTACAATGGAAGAGTGGGAGGAGAAGGAGGAGGTATCGAGAAATGGAGTTTCTAGCATTCAGGATGAAGTGAAGGTGCACAAAAAGGAAGAAAGGGATAATACACTTTTCCCTTTGATGCCCACCAAATGTTTTTGGGGTGGCGAAGGTGGTTGGGGCTTTTTTTGTTGGTTTGGTTTCTTTCTTCTTCACTCCAAACATGGCTGACACTTTAATAGTAAGGGTACAACAATAAATTCAAACAATACTTATATTTCTTTCCTGGGGTCATTCAGGTTCTTTTTAGAGAACATTTTAGAGAACAAATGAAGTTTATGTACCTGTAAAGATATGTTTTGATCTCATGTCATATGATGTAAAATGGGCTCAGAAGGCTAAGTTTTCTAATTTTTTTCAATGATGCAGTGCTGTTGAGTGACAATTATTCTGCATTATTGATCACTTCCATGTTAACCATTCTAGTTGTAAAAATTGAAAGTTTTTTGTGATTTGGATTCTGCTGTTTTTATCTTTGGTTAAATATTGGGATCTTGTTTGGTCCTCAATATTGACCTCAATCTGTAAATGCTGTCTTTAATTATCATTATTATTATTTTAAATTTTTTTCCTACTTTCAAAATTTTGACTTTTCAAACACAAGTAAAACTTTTTCGACAATTCCTTGCTTTCTAGCGGATAGTGCATGTCAAAAATTCAATGTGCAACTTTAACACCCTTTAATTTGGTTATCTTCTTTTTCAGAAGCTGCAATCTTTACTTATGATATCTTTGACATTCTCCATCAAGGATCTTCTAACATATTTTGGAAAAATGAAATTAGAAACCATGGACTAGTTGTAACTTGTACGCTAGTAACTCTCCTAAGTATTTATTCCTCTGTCTTCAGAGTGTCAAACCCAACCCTCCTCCCTTTTTATTTTTAATTTTATGTGCTTCACCTCTGAACACTTCATTTCCTTTATAAAGCTATGCTTATTATGTAATTAACCTTTTGGTTTAATGTTCATGTAGCTTGAAGGAGAGGCAACTGCTCGAGCCATTCGTTTGGCTGCTTTTGTAAACACACCTCTTTACATTGTCCATGTCATGAGCATTGATGCGATGGAAGAAATAGCTACAGCTCGAAAATCAGGTTTGAACTTTTTAAATTGTAGTGGTGATTATTGTGTCAAATTCATATGGTACGTTGACAACATTATTATTGCACTGAGATGGAGCATTTACCTGTGCTCTTGTATAGTTAACAAAGCCCTAGTCTAAAAAAATTCAGTTACATGAATCTAGAGCCACACCCTCTAATAGATTCTTGGAATCACATTTGTTCTCACGGCCTCTACTTAATTCTTGTAACCTTCATTTTTTCATTCTCCTCCTATATACAATTGGGCATGAGAGACATCTACGCATCAATTTGAGAGGGACTGTTGAGTATATTGTCATTATTGAAATAGGGATGCTTTTATAATTTCTTGGACTTTATTAGGATAAATACATGGACATAGGGATGAGGAGAGTAACTTATACCAAAATCCCTATTTTAATATGTCCAAGGGGATATGAATTTTTTTTTTCGTATTTCTTAATTTAATTTAATTTTTCATATTTAATGGTGTTTACAAGGTGACAAATTATTTTTTTCATAATTATCTTATCAAAAAAAAAAAAAAACATTTTATGCATAATTATATGGTAAACTCAACTTCTTAGACATACTTGCTAAGTGAATGTCCATCTACACATGACAGACACATACTGGATATCCTTACTCTACTATCAATTGCTTGACACCAGCAGTTATACATTTAGAATAGTTCATGTAATGTAACATAGCATACATCATATAAATACAGGAAAATTATTTATACTATGTCATATATAAACTGCTTATGTACACATTCGTGTTGACGTTGAATGTATGTGTACAAGTCTATAGTTCATGTTGTAAGTATTTCCGAATGAATTGTATATTCAACTTGTATTGATTGAATAAAGAATACATCATTTATATAGAACACTAAATCCTAATCATACATGAATACATCACTGATATATAGAAGTCTAATAGATATAGGACTCTAATTCCTAATCCTATAGGGAAAAAGGAGAACACATTCTCACACCCCCGCTCAAACTCAAGGTGTTTTAGCAGAAAACACTGAGAGTTTGTCAAGAAAAAACGGAAACCGAGCAGTGGTGTGAGTCTTGGTGAAGAAGTCAACAAGTTGCAGAGCCGAAGAGACAAAAAGAAGCGAGATAAAGCTAGACTGCAGATCCTGACGGACAAAGTGACAAATCAATCTCAATATGCTTTGTCCGTTCATGGAAGATAGTATTATGTGCAATTTGAATAGCACTTTGGTTGTGACAATAGAGAGAGGTCGGGGAAGACTGAGGGACGCCCAAGTTAGATAAGAGACCATGAAGCCAGACAATTTCAGCAGTAGCATAAGCCATAGCACGATACTCAACTTCGGCAGTAGAACGGGCAACAATAGTTTGTTTTTTGCTTTTCCAAGAAATCAGAGAATCGCCAAGAAACATACAAAAACTAGAAGTAGATTTACGATCATTAACATCACCAACTCAATCAGCATCAGTATAAGCCACCAAGTCTAAGCAAGAAGTAGAAGAGAATAGCAAGCCTTGGAAGAGAAATAATAAAGAGAGAAAAGAAATAATATGTATTAGTTCGGCGGACGGCCAAGGCAAGACTGTCGCCCGCCGATAAAGCGAAATTACTAGGTACTTAACCTAGCTCCGATGACATGTTTTTCTTTCAGTATCACTTCGTGGTGATCTCTCTCTACTATGTTTTTTTTTTTTTTACTCGTAATACATTTTTTTTTTTCTCCACTATATCTTTCCCTCTACTTCAACCTCAAATTAGGTTCTATCTTCAAACCTATTTGAGTTTGAGGGGGGGGTATTATACCTATATCATGGTGAACATGGTTATATACCATGCAAACCGCGTAGCCGCCTCCTTTGGCGCACAATCCAAGCCGCATTCTCTGGCGCACAACCCAAGCCGCCCCTCTCTGGCGCACCACCAAACTCGCCCCCTAGCGCACCATCTAAGCCGCCTCCTGGTGCACTCAGTCATCTGTTGCCATCATCGTTCAGCACCACGTCATAAGTTATGTGTGGGCAAGACTGCTGCCCGCCGATAAAGCGAAATTACTAGGTACTCTAGCTCCGATACCATGTTTTTCTTTCAGTATCGCTTCGTGGTGATCTCTCTCTCTACTATTTTTTTTTTTTACTCGTAATACATTTTTTTTTCTCCACTATATCTTTCCCTCTACTTCAACCTCAAATTAGATTCTATCTTCAAACTTATTTGAGTTTGAGGGGGGGTATTATACCTATATCATGGTGAACATGGTTATACACCATGCAAACCACCTAGCCGTCACACTCAGTCATCTGTTGCCATATCGTTCAGCACCACGTCATAAGTTATGTGTGTGCCACGCTTGCTGGTTCAACATCTAGTCTTTATAACGGTCCAGTATAATCCCTTCAAACTGTCCCAACATTGATTCCGGTTAACTCCTACATCGGTCCGGCATGACCCCTTTAAACTGTCCTAACGTTAGTTCCAGCCAGTTCTTACAATAGTCCGACACGACCATAAACTGTCTCTCGGCATTAGTTCCAACCAGTTTCTATATTGGTTCGGCACGACCTTAAATTGTCCTGGCATTAGTTTTAGCCAGTTCCTACAATGGTCCGACATGACTATAAACTGTCTCCCGATTTTAGTTCTGGCCTCTGATCTATTTCAAGCACCCTTGCGCTTTCGTTCGAATTTTGCAATCTATTTGCCTTTTAGAATAATAAAGAGAGAAAAGAAATAATATGTATTGTGTTGAATGTATTGTATTGAATGTCTTGTCCTATACAATAGAAGGCTTGTATATATAGACTAAGAAAGAGTATCCCATAAGAGACCTAACTATGGCAATAACTTATATATTTAGGAAATCAATACCTAATATATGTAGGAATATATACCATATATATATTAACATCCCCTCCCTCAAACTTAAGGAGGATAAACATCTTGAGTTTGGAAAAATAAACTAAAATATGAAATAAAACTAAATAAAATAAAAGGCAAATAGATTAAAAAATTCGAACGAGAGTGCAAGGGCACTTGAAATAGATCAGAGGCCGGAACTAAAGCCGGGAGACAGTTTCTAGTCGTGTCGGACCATTGTAGGAACTAGTTAAAACTAATGCTAGGATTAAGGTCGTGCCAGATCGATATAGAAATTGGCTGGAACTAATGCTGAGAGACAGTTTATGGTCGTGTCGGACTATTGTAGGAATTGGCTAGAAGTAATGTCAAGACAGTTTAAAGGGGTCATGTCGGACCGATGTAGGAGCTAACTGGAATCAATGTCAGGACAGTTTGAAGGGGTCATGTTAGATCGTTGTAAAGACTAGATGTTAAACCAGCAAGCGTGGCACACACATAACTTATGACGTGGTGCTGAACGATGATAGCAACAGATGACTGAGTGCGCCAGGAGGAGGCTTGGATGGTGTGCCAGGGGGCGAGTTTGGTGGTGCGCCAGAGAGGGGCGGCTTGGGTTGTGCGTCAGAGAATGCGGCTTGGATTGTGCTCCAAAGGAGGTGGCTAGGTGGTTTGCATGGTGTATAACCATGTTCACCATGATATAGGTCGCAATGATGAACCAAGATGAAGCCGACGCGGACTGAGAGAGATACGATGAAGCAGGCGCGATAATTGATTGCGATTTTCTGACTCTGGTTCTCTCTCTGTCTGTGGCTTCATCATCGTGACTCTCTCTCGCAACTCTGGTTCTCATCTCTCTATCTCTGTCTCGGTAATTTGTTATCAATAGTATTAAAGCCCTTATTCTTGTTTGGCCCATTTATTAAGTTATTAGTATACTTTGACCCATTAATCTTTAGTTTATTACAATGACGGATACCAAAATTCAAGCCATCAGATGTAAACTCACCGGTGCCAATTATGCTTATTGGGATAGTGTTATGAAGAATTTCCTTCTTGCTTAAAAAAAATGGGGCTATATTTCTAGTTCTGTTCCTCGTCCATTGGACCCGAAACAAGAAGGATATCTGACTTCCTATGACACTTGGGATTGTGATAATGCCTAAGTTTTGACCTGGTTTCATAATTCTGTGGATGACCGTATTGCAATAATGTTTTCAAAATACAGTACTGCTAAGGAGGTGTGGGACTATTTATTGGGTGTGTATCAACAGTCCAACTTTGCCAAACGGTATGAGTTGGAAATAACGATTCAGAGTGCTTGCCAACGGGATCAATCTATTCAGGACTTTTACATTGAGATGACAGGTCTCTAGGATCAGTTGGCTCTCATGGAACCGTCTAGTCTCAAAGCACAAGACGCTTATATTGAGTTTCGAGAGCAAGGTCGTTTAGTGCAGTTCTTAACGACTCTCTCTTCTCAGTATGAGGCTATCCGTGGTGGCATCCTTCATCGGTCTCCTCTCCCCTCTGTAGATGCTATTGTTCGTGAGCTCCTCTCCGAGGAAATCCGTCTTAAGATGGCCAGTCAGACTCTGTCTCCTTCAGTCTTCTTAGCACAGCCACCTCTATTGGCGACTCCATCTGCTTCTCAACCTCAGTCTTCTGCCAAGCCCAAAAAGGGGCCCTTAGCATCAGATGAGTGTGCTTTCTGCCATCAAAAGGGTCATTAGAAGTACAACTGTTCCAAGAAGAGCCGTCGGTCTGCTTAGCCGTCTCAACCACAGTTCCGAGGTCCTGCTCCGAGTACTTTTTGCCCTCCTGCTGCTTATACTGCATCTGCTTCGACTTCTGATCCTGACCTCGCTTCCTGGTCGCACAACTTCAGCATCTCCTATCCACTTCTCAGGTCGCACAACTTCAGCATCTCCTATCCACCTCTTAGCCATCCCCATCTGCCGCCGCTCTTACTTCTCTTCATTCAGGTTTGCTTGTGTCCTCTTCAGGTATCTATTCTTCTGTCTGGCTCTTTGATTCTGGTGCCTCTCATTATATGACTCCTCACATTTCCTTACTTCAAAACTGTATTCCCCCACCCGTTCCTATTACTATTAATACTGCTAATGGGTGTGGTATGTCTGTTCTGTCTATTGGGTCTGTCTTACCTTCTGCCATGTCTGCTGTTACTATTCCTTCTGTTTTTTATGTCCCTCAGTTATCTATCAGTTTATTATCTATCAGTCAACTTGATACATCTGATTTTGATGTTTTCTTTTCCTCTTCTGTCTATTATGTGCATGATCAGGTGTCCAAGAAGCAGATTGGGACCGGCCGTAGAGTTGGAGATCTCTTATGTGGTCGAAAGCTTGCATTTTCCCTTATCCACCTCTCTAGCTACACTTTCCTCGTTTCAGTTAGATTCTCGGTCGAATCATTTTTACTTGTGGCATTCTCGCCTCGGTCATTTGTCTGTTGACCGCTTACAGTCTTTAGCTCAATCAGGGTTGTTGGGTAAGGTTTCTTTTAGTCAAATTGATGAATGTCGGGGGTGTAAACTTACTAAAATGTCAGCTTTACCATTTAACAAGGAATACATCATTTATATAGGACACTAAATCCTAATCATGCATGAATACATCATTGATATATATAAGTCTAATAGATATAGGACTCTAATTCCTAATCCTATAGGGAAAAAGGAGAACACATTCTCACACGTGTATATATATATATACTTGTCAATTGGTAGAAGATTAACATTAACATGTGATTTTTTTTTTTTTTTTTCCAATTTGTACATAAAAGAAAACCTATATCATTTTATATATCAAAAACTTCATTTAAAAGAAAACCTATATCATTTTATATATCAAAAACTTCATTTACATAAATATGTCTGTGTGGCTTAATGATAAAAGGTCTATGTACATACGTAGTGGTTGATAGCTTATATTGATAATGGTTGGTCACTATTCCTTGTGTCACTTTGTTGATCCGTAAATCCTTTCAATTGGAGTTAAAATGAGAGTGGGAAAGTGAAAGATGAAATGAAAAAAAAAATAGAAGTTTGAGTTTTCGGTGAAAAGGGGAGAGGAATGATGGGTGAAAATAGGAGTGGGATAGGCTTCCTTTTTTAAAATTTTTTTGGACAGATTTTCAACATCATTAATTCTAAATTTTTTGCTTTGTAAATTAATTGAGTTTACGTAAGTAAAAAAAGTTAAAGAAAGACAGTTTAAAATGAAAATGAAAATAAATAAAATATGCTGATGAATTAGTTTGATATGTCACCGATTCTAACTCGATAACAACGAACAAGCTATTGAAAATTTTAGGAAGGTACAAAGAAATTCTGTTCGATAAGTCTGATATTGTGGATGTATATCATTGATGTTAAGGATATTCCGGCCGTTTTATTTTAGTTAGATATTTTCAAATAATTTTTATCACTCATACCGTTACCGATATATTGCGATATTCAAAATCATTGGAAATAGTCAAATTATGGTTACATTCTCATAATTATCCTTGACCTTTTAAATACGTTCACAGATACATTGTGATTTGTGACTCTAAAGTAACAGCTTGCAGTGAGTCTGCGACAATACTATCCATGCAACAAATAGATTGCTAATGTTCATTTTCTTCATTGAAGCAATGCTCACTATTACACTAGACTGGTGTAATATTTCGTCATCACGTGTATATTTGGTTGACTAATGGTTGGCTTGCATCCTTTTATATCTGATTATATATTTTTAAAATCTGGTTTAAGAAATTGCTACTGATTGCATATAAGTTGTTCCTCCTTTTTAATTTTTAATTTTCATTTGTAACAGGATTTTGATTTTGCCTTTTGCTTCTGTATGCCTTGCACAAAAACATCAGAGATGATTGTGATCCTATTTACATAATTTTTGATTCACTAAGTTTTCATGAATTAGGATCTTTGGAGCAAACTCTTTGGATTTTTCATTATTATTATCCTTCAACTGCAGGGCAGAGGGTTATTGGGGAGCCAGTAGTGTCAGGATTGGTCCTCGATGATTCTGGGCTTTGGGATCCTGACTTCATCACTGCGGCTAAGCAAGAACCTGACTCTCTTTCCACTTTATTTCTTGTTTTTCATTTTTTTATTTCTTGCTGCTAATCTGTCAGTTTCAATTCTATGTGAAGCAATATTGTCCTTTTATGTTTCAGGTTTGTCATGAGTCCCCCTATTAGGGAATTGGGACATGGAAAGGCTCTCCAAGCTGGCCTGTCAACAGGGGTTTTGCAGGTTTTGCTCTCATCTTTATAGTAGATAGCTTCTATGTTCTACTCCGAGGATAGGAATTTGAATGTTAGATGTTTTCCTAAAATCATGGCATTTGTAAATAGATTATTTCCTTGAATTGCAGTTATTGATTTTCTGATATGTGCTATTAGAATCACCAAGAATGTATATATCTAATTTAGGATTTTTGCTCAGATAGTCTATGACATGATTGAGCTATTTTTATGTCCCAGTCCTTGTTAATTTGCCTATGACTGTGCTTCATATTTTGCAGCTAGTAGGAACTGATCACTGTTCCTTCAATTCCACACAGAAAGCTTTTGGCATAGATGATTTTCGTAAAATACCAAATGGGGTCAACGGTAATTATGAGCTTTTATGGTTCTTAGTATCTGCAAAGTTTCCTTTTTCATGGCCCGAGTCAGTAAGTGGGGTTTATTTAACCTATTCTACTTTCTAATTCATCTCTTTGTGGCAATCCTGGGAATGTATAGGCATCGAAGAGAGGATGCATCTAGTTTGGGATACGATGGTGGTGAGCTTCTGTGAATTTGTACTTTGACCATTGAAAACTAACTGTATTCGTTAAAATTTTGTTTTCTCAATTTCTATTTGTTTGTCCAGGAATCAGGCCAAATATCTATCACTGATTATGTCCGAATAACCAGCACTGAATGGTATGCTTTCACTGTGAAAGCTTGGATTATGTCTCATCTCTATTTGAATTTCTATAATGCTCCCTCAGATGCCAAATTTAATTCATAAAATCATGTTTCTTAGCAGTTCGGTCCCACTAACAGATTTATGGTAAATGATTTTAAAATTTTCATTTTGTTCAGTGCTAGGATCTTTAATATATATCCAAGGAAAGGAGCAATCCTTGTCGGATCAGATGCAGATATAATCATACTCAACCCAAATTCAAGCTTTGAAATTAGTGCCACTTCTCACCACTCTAGATTGGACACGAATGTCTTCGAGGGAAGAAGAGGGAAGGTAACATTTCGTAATTGATTGGTCCATGTGTTAATAACCAATAAACTATGGTAATTAATTGCATTGTGATGAGAGAATGGAATTGAAACATTTTGTTTTATTTTACATTTAAATTTGAAAGGCATAAGCTTAAGGAGAGTACATGGATTTATGATCTCTGCAAAGGTTAATTTGCTATACTGTTGCTGATTGTTCTTCTGATGCTTTCCATCTGTCTGAGTTATGTGTTCCTCTTGTTTGATCCATATTCCCTAAAGTTTTTGCAGGTAAATGCTTGCCTATGGTTTATTTTGTAAATTTTTGGGTTTGTGAGAACTATGGCGTGAATGTTATTGTAGTTGTTTGGATGCAGTAATTTAGTGGGAAGGATTTTTCAATTTTGATTTGTCCGTAAGGTATGCCATCATTTGAACAGTTGAGATTGGCTGCACTCTACCTGCGACGTATCTCTCTCTAATTCGTATACAATTCTATTACAATTTTGGAATTAGTAAAATACCTTGCTTTTAGTTATGACTAAATAAAATTTTCTTTAAGAAATTTCCCTTCATATTATTTCATCCCTTAATGCTAAATGCCATTCAATGCAAATGTGAAATCTCCTAATATGCTCTGTTTTTATGTGGGTTTATCAAATAAAGCTCTACATAAAGTAAAGCCAAGTTGTTCTGCTAATAGCTTTGCTGATTGTTAATCTGGTGAAGTTGGCATTGTAATGAATAAGTAAGATTGTGCCGTTATTCCACAAGTTTTGTTTTTACCTTTTTTCCCATTCTCTCTCTGTTATTGCTCACCTGGAAATGCTACAATGGGCACCCCTAAAAAGGTGCACATTGTAAGAAAAGTTTTGATTTTGTTGGTGAAAGTTATGAATGTTTGTGGTGAAAGTTATGAATCTTTGTAGTGAAAGTTAGGAATAACGAAGATATAATGTGCTCCCCTAAAATTACGAGCTGTAAAGTTATACTTTTGTTAGTAAAAATTATACCTATTTGTATAAGGTGCATACTGTATGCATCCTTTTTGGGGTGCACATGGTAGCCTTTTCCTTGTTCATCTCATATGAGTTTGCATGCTTATAGTTTCTAATTTGTTAGCAACACAAACGTTATTCTGTAATAGTAGGGGTATTGCTAGAACTGTTATATATATATGCATGTACATATACATATTTTTCTTTTTTATATGTAAAGTTTATTAGAAGAGGCATTGAACGGGGATCCTGCCTATGTACAACTTCAATTGTTACTTTATGTTTTAATGTTTATTGCACGATGAATCAACACACTATTATAATTGTTCATGAATATTGCAACTATAGATAATTTAATCTCAATTTCTAATAACACTAAATGGTGTTGCTCATGGATCACAAACATCGATTTCTACTTTGTGTCAAGTTCCAATGATTTCTTTTCATGTTTTCTCAGGGAAAGGTTGAAGTAACAATTGCCGGAGGAAGGATTGTTTGGGAAAATGGTCAATTGAAGGTTGCCCCGGGTGAGGGCAAGTACGTAGAAATGCAACCTTTCAGTTATCTTTTTGGTGGAATTGACAAAGCAGATGCAAAGTACCTCTCTTCCCTCCGAGCTCCAGTGAAGCGATTCAAAGCCACAACTTGACTTGCAGGTTCAATTACTTTCACTATTTATGATAGCTTTTCACAAACTTATGTTTAAGGGATTAAGTAATGTAGAGCTTGAGTTCGTGTAAATACAAGCTCAAATAATGAAAAGAAACAGGTGTTGATATTGTATATATCCTGTTGTAAAATATATATGCATTCATGATATAGGATTTATGCAATAAATTTTGCTATTTTGCTGATTTTTTTTTTTAATATATCAAGAAATAAACTACTTATCTTCCTTGCTTTTCTCCTATAAAAGCATTCCAAAATAGTAAGAGCACGATACACATAGCTCACTCAAAGTTAACAGAGGTTTTGATCATGCATACCATGACTAGCGAACTTGTCTCGCTGACAAATACAGGCACAAAGTGCACTATCGAGTAAAATATTATTAAAATCCTCAGAAATGTATAGAATTTGTTGGATATTTTGGAAATCAAGGCCTAATACAACAATTAAGGTAGGTCAGAACGTTCTTTTTTTTCTGCACAAAAATCATACATATGAAAATATTAGATCAAAGAATATGACAACACGTGTCATCTTTATCTTTTTTTTTTTTCTTCTTCTTCTCCCTAACATATTCAAGCATGTTTTAATCCATGTGCATCGGTCAACCAAGGGGATATGGATCAAAACAGGACCTGAATATGGTATGTTATTAATTGGGAGAATCATCTTCATACATAATCATCTTAAACATAATAATGTAGTGGTTGAAAAATGCAGTAGAACAAAATATAATATACAAGACACTAGAAAATGGAGTCCTACCACAACTGAATCATCATGTTGATGGTCGGATTTCTGAACGGGCTGATGCTCGGGCTGTTTCTGAATGATTAGCTCTTGTTCATTTCCGATACTATGGCGGTTGAAGTCGTTCTTGTTCTGCTTCTTATTAGCACGAGCTCGAGAAAACACCATAGAGTAGTCGGTATTACCAACCTTGTGATCCCACCCTCCAAACTGAGGAACCGACATCCTAGTAGGTTTCTGAAAATATAAAATATCAAACAATTAATAAATAATATCATTTTTCAAAGCTATAAAACTAGTAATTTTCAATGTGCATATTCATTGTTGAATGCGTGTGAATAAAAATCTATCAATTACAGTACTTGAGCTTGCATTGGCCAACATCCCCTTGGTTAGTGCACATTGCCAAATGCAATACAAGTATTGCACGTTGACAAGGTAAATATTATCTCTAATGTTGGATGTTATAATGATGCTCCGTGAACTACCATACTTGAGCTTGCATTGGTCAACATCCCTTTGGTTAGTGCACATTGACCAATGCAACTCAAGTATCGCATGCTAACAAGGTAAATATTGACGATCCGTCAACTATCATGCTAGAGCTTGCATTGGTCGTTATCCCCTTGGTTAATGCACACCGACCAATACAACTCTAGTATTGCATGTTGAAGGGGCAAATATAATCCTCAATGTTGGATATTATATTGATGATTTATATAACAAATAAAAGCAAGCTATGAATAGAATTGATAAAGGGTGGTCTTGATTAGCTGCCCTGCACAAAGCAAAACAATTTTACATAGGTGAGAGTTGCTGCTAATCAGATGTGAAGTAGTGTAATAAAGAGTTGTAGTGTAATAAAGAGTTGCCTCACATAAAATACAAAAAATATTCAATTTGAATGGTTATACGTGATCTTATGGTTGTTTTAGTGTAATTTTTTTCAATTTAAAAATTGATAATCAAATTTAGAAGTTGAAAACATTCCTCTAAATTCAAATAATTAGTGTTTTTTAAACTTGTTTAAGCTATAACTGTCCCCATAAACTATGAGTAGTACCAAACACTCGACACATTTCCAAAATAAAAAAAAGTAACAAGTAGCTTAAATAAAGAGTGGTGATTCATCCCACTAATTTTTGAACCACTGATAGCTCTAATGAGTTTAAAAAAATAAAAAATAAAAAATAAAAAAAATAAATAAAAAAAAACAAATTCAAGCCAAAACATCACATCACTTTGGTGAGGGCCACTGTGCCACATCATTAGTGATGATACTTTAGAGTTTCCAATTTAGTGCTCTAAAACATTATTCCTTAAATAAATTGGACAAAGCATGACATGACTATAGAATTGTATCAACAACATTGTATCAAAGAACAAAACAACAAAACAAAAGTTAAAAAGAATTTTATTAACTTTCAAAATACTTCAGCAGCTCAACACTTGCATGTACACAAACATTACATGCAATGATGCTAGTGAAAGTGCAAAATGAGAAGTATGAGAATGTGTAATAGATGTCAAATCAAGGCAATTAATTTAATGACAGACATGAATATAAATTGTGAATTCATATTTCACGCAAATAAGTAAAGGTGATAACAAGGAAACTATGATAATGCATATATCCCTTGATAGAGTTGTGAAAAAATTAAAAAAGAAGAAGAAAAAGAAGAAGATTTATATAGCTGATCATACTTGATTAGGACACAAAATTTAGTTTAATTTGATTTGATTATTGAAAATACGTATAAGAAAAATACCTTGTCGCATTGACATATAAAATTTTATAAAAAAAATGCAACAAAAAGAAGAATGTACACGATTGTTAAATTTTTCCGTCATTATAAATGTTTTTACACAGTCATATAAAATGTTGGGGGAAGGGAATACGAGGAAGAAATTTTTGTTTTTTTTTTTGAATATCCATGAAAATGAATATTTCTTTAAATTTTTATTGTTTGGAGGAAACAAACAATATCAAGTGTTATGTGGATAACTAATAAATATGTTGAAAAAAATCATGAGAAATTAAATTGAGTTTCATATTGTGCAATTGCCATGAATTTCTTTTATTTATTTATTATTTTTAAAGAATGAATTGTTATATATTTCGTGACTGTTGAAATCACTTGATAACAATTGCTCTACAATGAATAATACTTTTAATTTAAAAAATGTTCGTGAATACAATGAAAAGGTTTCAAATAAGAATGAAAATATTCACTTAAATGAAGAAATTTCATGAAAAAAGAAGAAAACAAATAAAAAATTGATTGCTTTAAATTTTTTTTTTTTTTTAAACATAGCGTTGAATTACCTCCCGTTTTTCCATTGTGGATTGAGAGGAAAGGATAGGAGAGAAAGGGTGGAATTGTTCGAAAAAACAAAACAACTATGATTATTCTTAATTACATGATTCTCTATTTTAGGATAATCTAAACATGCTTTAGGATGTTTTGAAATGCAAATAAAAAGAATAGTTTGATTTCTATCCATTCACATGTTGTGTTAGAGGTTGTAGTAACACCTCAATAAACTAATTCTCCGTTAAAAACTCTTCGGCCCAAATTGGATAGAGGGAGGAAAATGAAATGGTGGATTTAAAAATAACAAAAAAAATCCTAAATTTAGATATTTTTAAAATCTAAATTTAGCTTCTTTTTTTTTTTCTTTTTTTTTTATTGTTAGTTATACTTGTCCAAATTTATCCAACTATAATTAACTGCGGGTTGTTTTGGAAGATGGTTAAAAGCTGATTTTTTAATTTTTTTTTTAAAAAGTGTAAAAAATGTGAGATGATATGACCCAAAATCGATTAAAAACTGAAAGATGACTTTTAACTATCTTTTTAAAATAGTCCTGAGACTAGTTCAATTCAAATCTTGTCACAAATAAAATAGAGCCTCCTCAATCTCAAACTTCCATCCAATATACCAACAAAATAATAATTATTGTTCAACAATCATGGTAAGTAATCATAATCGTAATTCTCACAAGAGCTTTAGCTCTTGCAAAATTTTCATTTTTCCTTATTTGCCACGTTTTGGACTCTTGAGCATGGTTCTCCATGCACTAAGACACAATGTTTTGATTTTAGTATTGCTACGAGTTGCTACTTACTCAACTTTTTTATTACACTCTACAAAATTATGTCCAATTACACATTAATACGCTTTACAAAATTATGTCCAAGTACACATACCTTAACATGTGACATAATTTTAAATATTTTAAAATACACCTTTAAAAATATTGTTATGTTGGGTAAGAAGAGTATTTTTGTTGGGACACATAACAGCTAATATTATATTTCTTTTATTTTCTCCGTCTCAAAATATTAGTTCTTTATTCTATTTTTTATTGTTCCAAAATATTAGTCCTTTTCAAAAATTAGGAATAAAAATAATATAAATTTTATATTTTACCATTCTTTTAAATTTATTAATAACATAAAAAGTACAACTATGACAATTGATATTCCTTATAAAATGTACTATCAAAGGGTAATTTTAGAAAATTAATTTTTTTAAAGTACAATAATTGTATTACTAAAAAAAGTTAGATTTTCTAAAAAAAAATCATTATTTTGGGACAGAATAAATATTATAATAAATAATGAATGTAACATTGGCAATCGACATTACATTGATCTACTAGATACTGTAATTATGTCATAGGTTTTCAAATGTAATGTAACTACTCACAAATGAAGGAGAAAAATCGTACATCAGTAAAGTCCAAAAATTAAATAAATTAGTTCGAGTTGTCACATGGTGACCCATACTTTGATTAGAGTACGATTCCAAGTTATTGAACATTCGTTTGGAATATGCATTGGGTTGACTTTTCAGCTAAAATAGTTATAAAAAATAAGGATAAACAATAGGTATATTGATTCATTCAAATCAATTCGAACCGATTTGTCACATTTTGGACGGATGCGTGATGACGAGTGGATAATTGTATATTAATTTTTTTCAATTCACCTAATTTTGGACGAATGACGGATTTGAGATTCCTTTGATCGCAATCAAACCGCCAAACCACAAGCACCCGTAATAATTTGTAAGATTTTATGTTTTCAATTTGGTTAGATATTATATTTGTGTTTTCAATTGAAAAGAGTTTAAATATTTTGTTGAATATATTATATTGAAAAAGAGTTTTTAATTTGAATATATTTTTTGAATTGAAAAAAATAAATGTGTTATTTATCTATATTTTTTTATTTTTAAATCTAACTATAAAAATAATAAATAAAAAAGATGATATACGCTGGTTGATTTTTGTTTTCAAAAATAGATATAGATGTAACAATACAGAGGAATACAATCTCTACTACTACTCTATTCATTGTTTTGGTGGTTTGAATTATTTTTATATTTTAAGAACCACATATTGTAATACTTTATATAGATGATGTATGCAGTAATTGTAATATGTAGATGTAGCATACAGTAATTGTAATATTCTAAAATTTTAAATTTTCTTTCTTTGGATGAGACATGCAATGATTGTAATACTTTTTTAAGTCATTGACTGCAATACTCTTTTTTTTTTTTTTTTTTTTTTTTTGAGGAAGTGCACAAATTGAGTTATGCTGAAAATTTATAAAATTTTAAACTGTCAAACCGATTCGCATCTATCCGCCAATCCGCTCAATCCAGATCCGTCGGATTGGCTGACGGAAACGGATTGATTTTCTTCAATCCGCTAATCTGGTGGACAGATGGAGGATTAGAAGTTCCGTAACCGACTCGCGTCCACCTCTAATAAAAAGATAAAATAGTCTAAAAAACTGATAAGACAAAATATTATATCCAAATTATAATCATTTTATTTTTTCTCTCACAAAAATTAAAAACTTATTCTAAATAAAATTTTTTAATCTCAAATTAAAATAATTAAAAAATTAAAAAATCAACTCCCATCCAAACGAACAGTGAGGAACATTAAGGATGTAACTCTCAGGTTGGATTTTTTGAGGTTTAATCTCACTAAGAAATAGTCCTTACGATATATACTTGCCAGACGAGTAGAGTTCAAGAAGGATACCGAGGTAGGTAGTCAGCGTGAAATATTGAGTTGTTGCTCACTTTAACATCGGAATGCCCAAAGAAGAAACGGTTTTTCTCAAACAAACAAAAAGATACCGATAAAATAATACAGCATAAAATTTCTATATTAAAACAAACTTTTTCAATTTTTTAAGAAAGATAAAACACGTATTTAAATTTTTTTAAAGTAAAACAAATAATATGATTGAAGTTTAAAAGCGCAATGCAACTAAAAAAAAATACACAAAATTTTCAATTGGCTCGTTTGGAAACTTAATTATTTTAGTAGGTTATTTTAGTTTTTGACTATTTTAATAAATTAGAATTTTTGTATTTGAGAAGAATGTTAGATTTTTTTATAGTTAGATGTGATGTTTGTGAGAAACAAAATAAAATAATTATGAATTTGATATAACATTTTATCTTCTTGATTATTTTATTCTGTTTTGTCTTTTTGTGAATTTTAATTTTTTTTTTTTTTAAAAAAGAGCCAGAATTTAGCTTTCCAAACACGGCCAATGCAAGGTGATGGTGACGGTTGTGTGAGGTTATAACGGTATATGTTAATATTTATTTATAAATATTTATAAATTCAGATAAAATTATGTAAGTTTCTTATAATTTATTTATTTTTTTTTTTTATCTTACCTATTAAGAGTCATTTAAAACCTTAAGTGATATCATTTGTGGTTGTCAAACGATTCAACATTTAAAATTGAATGTATTAAGTGAAAATCAATTAAACTCGTTTGATAATCATAATTGATATCACTTAAAAAATTAAATACTTCTTAAAATGTAAGCTAAAAGTTTAAAAAACTTTAAGGCCTCGTTTGGGGACTGACTATTTTAGCCAAAAAGCCAACTAAAACTAGTCACATCACCTCTCTACTTTTCTGCACTTCTTTTCGTAAAAAGATAAAAAGTTACTAAAATAGCCTGTTCCCAAACGAGGCCTAAGTAAAATAAAATTTGTTTAAATCTAATTGAATTTATAAATACTAAATATAAGTATCGATATACATCATTACAAACTTACTACTACTGTCACAATTACCAGTTCTACCATTACCGCTGTCGCTGTTGCCGCCATCGCCGCCACTGCCACTGCTACTGCCACCGCCACCACCGCCACCGCCGCTATGCCATCGTTATTGTCATTACCACTATTACTATCACCACCTTCATCATCATTGTCATTGTTGCCATAAGTACCACCATCATTTCACTATCACCACCACACTACCACCATTATCGCCGCCGCTACCACTATTACTGCCACCACCTTCATCACCATTGTTATTGTTATCATAAGTGCTACGATCATTTAACTACTGCCACTACACCACCACCGCCATTATTACCACCACTACAACCCTTCATCTCCACAACAATTGTCACTGTTGTTACAACCACCACCATCATTCCACTACCGCTTTCACTCTTCTTCTTTTTCCTTACCTTTCCACCACCACGACAATCGCTACCACTATCCCTTAATCTCCACCACTATTGTCATTGGCACCATAACTAACGCTGAACCATAATTTGATTCAAAAAATGTAGATATTTTGATTCACAAGTATAATTTCAAAATTCCAATTTCTGATTTCAAATTTCAACATATAGATATTTCATAATTCCAATTCAACAATTCTCAATTACATGAATTTCGTAATATGACATTAACAATTACGAATTAAATGAATTACAATTTTTACTATTTTTATTCTTAATTAAACAAAATTACTTTTAAAACCATAATTTGAAACCCTAATTTCCTTTTAATTCCTGTTAAAAAGCAGAAAAAAAAAAAAACTCACAAGCATCATTTCAAAATTCCATTTTCTGATTTCAAATTTCAAAATATAAACATTTCATAATTCCAATTCAACAATTCTCAATTACATGAATTTCGTAATATGACATTAACAATTACGAATTATATGAATTACAATTTTTACTATTTTTATTCTTAATTAAACAAAATTACTTTTAAAACCATAATTTGAAACCCTAATTTCCTTTTAATTCCTGTTAACAAGCAAAAAAAAAAAAAAACTCACAAGCATCATTTCAAAATTCCATTTTCTGATTTCAAATTTCAAAATATAGACATTTCATAATTCCAATTCAA